ACCCTTATCCCCACCAGATCAGGTCCCCCTGCCATAGGTTTTCATAATTCCTTACACACCTTCATGGTATTTATTTATCACAATTACAATTATTTATTTAATGGCTTTCTTCCCTCACTAGACTATAAGCTCTTAAGAACAGGGACCACTGTTCTCTTACCAATGGCTGTGTTCCAGAACGCAGCACAGCACCTGAAACAGCGAGACCTAGGGAGCACTCTGCCTAGCTTCCCTCACACCTGCCCTCTCTCCGTCCCTGGCACGTGCTCACCCATGCTCACATACAAAAGAAATAAATTTATTTATTTATTTATAAGGAAAAATCAATTTGTTGAGCAGGGCCTCTCACCTGGAAAGTGCTGGAGGTTAAAGTTCACATCTTATTCCCAGCCTTCCTTAGGACTGGCCGCTTGAGACTGCTCAAAAGAAGATAGCACTCTTTCCATAGGTGTGTTAACTCCACAAGATAGGTAAAATTGCACTTTCTTTGGACCAATCTTGGAGAAATCCGGTAAGAATTGTTATTAGTCAAACTCTGAAGCTTTCAGGAGTTATTCTAGGCTTGCACCAAAAGGAGCCTGCATTCTGTCTTACTGAAGGCAAGCCCACGCTCTACCTTCATCCACCCTGCAAGTCCAAGGCAGCTAATTCATCTTTAAATCTTCTCAGCATCTGCTACTTAGTAAGCACTCAAACGATGTTGCAGGAAAATACATTTTATCAATAATTAAAATAACCACTAACATTTACTGAGCTCTTTATACCAGGTACCATAAGTCGTTATATGCATTATCTAAATTAACTGTCCCAACAACAATCCTGTGGAGTAGGTACTATTACCTCCATTTTACAGAGCTTATTTGCCCAAGGTTACATAACTATTAAGTGGTAAAGTAGGAAACTGAACCGGACATAAATCCCAAAGCCAGCACCCAGCCTTTAGAATTCTATTTCATATACACAATTCCCCAAAATTCTCTTCAAAAGACACTGTTAAGAAAATGAAAAGGCAAAATACAAACTGGGAGAATATATTCGCAATAAATATATATACAAAAAGGACTCGCATCTAGAATATATAAAGAACATTTCCAAGTCAATAATAAGAAAATAAATGACCCAATTAAAAAATTGGGCAAGACTGAACAGACACCTTACAAAAAGGCATACAAATGGTTAATCAGCTCTTAAAGATACTTAGTATCATTAGTCATCAGTGAAATGCAAGTTAAAACAATAACTATATGAGAGTACACACCCACCAGAATCACTAGAATGGCTAAAAGTAAAATGACAAATACGGTGTGTGGATGATGTGAAGAAACTGGAAAACTCATGTATTGCTGGTGGGAATGTAAAATGATGTAGCCATTTTGGGGAGAGATCTGGCAATTGCTTAAAAAGTTAAAAAAAAAAATATGACCCAACAATCTCACTCCTAGATATTTACCCAAGAGGAATGAAAACATATGTCCACACAAAGATCTGTACATGAAAGTTCATAGCAGCTTTATTCATAATAGCCAAAAAAATGGAAATAAGCCAAAGGTTAATCAAAAGGTTAATAAACAAATTTTAGAATATCGTACAATGAAATAAAAAGCAATAAGTAGGAACAAACTGCTGATACACAGAAAAAATATAGGTGAATCTCACAGATCTATTAAGCAAAAGACGCTAGATACAAAAGAGTGCAAACAGTTTTCTAGCATTCGAAATCAAATCAATGGTTGTATGAGGGCAAAGGTTGTAGAGATATTCTATGTATTCATTGTGACGGTGATTACACAGGTGAGGTTTTTGTCAAAATTAAGTGAACTCTACATATAAAATCTATACATTTTATTTTATGTACACTGGCTCTCAACAGAGTTCACTTGAGGGGGGGGGACCAAGCTCGCAAAATACTACTAACAATGCAAATGTTTATCAATAGAAGACCACTTAAATAAACAATGATCCATACAACAAATTCTCTGAAGAATAAGAAGTGTTCCAGGTACCGAAGTGGAAAGATTCCTGATATGTACGGTTAAGGGAACAAGCAAGGCACAGAGCAGTGTGTATAGCACACAACCTTCTAGAAAGAAAAAAAAAAGTGGGAGGGACTGTGTTCACTTTTGCTTACATATGCAAAACAAAACCCTGGAAGGAAACACAAACAACAGTAGTTAACTTTAGGCAGATGGGAAGGCTTTCCACTGTATACCTGTATGACTTATTCAAAAATAAAAAATTAGCCTGAGTTCCAGAAAAAAGATACCCATTCTAATTTCCCTACATCACACTCCCAATCCTTCCAAATCATATTTAAAATGTGAAAGAACTTGGCTGTAAACAGGCCTAATTCCTTAAGTCTTTCCCATCTCATGTAATAGAAACCCTATGCTCCCAGACCTGCAAGCCAAAATCTTTGGTGTCATCCTTGACTCGTTTCTCTCACTCCTTAAATCCAATGCATCAAATCCTACTGGCTCTATCATCACAACACATCCAAAATCTGACACTTCTCACCACCCTGGACCAAGCCACCATCTCTTTGCCAGCCTCCTTACTAAACTGGGCTCCTCAATTCCACCCTTGCCCTCCTTCAATCTCAACAGTGCAGAGTGATACTATTAAACCATTAAGTCACATCATGTCACTCCATGTCATTCCTCTGCTCCACTGTTGTTTTCCTTCTCAAAATGAGTCAAAATCCTTTCTAAAAAATGCACAGTTTCTTTTAGAACTTGATATGCTACCCCCTGGTCGTGATGACTTCATCTACTACTATACAGCTACTATGACCTTGCACACTGTTTCTCAAACACACCACGCATGTTCTTACCTCAAGGCCTTTGAACTTGCTCCCTCTGCCAGGAATGCTCTTCCTGCAGACACCCACATGGCTGGCTCCCTTAACTTCTGCTGGCCTTTACTCAAGTCACCTTAATAAAGCCATCTCCAGCCAGGATGCCTAAAATTTCAACCTATCTTTCTCATACCCTCACCCCAATACACACCCATAGTCCTCTTCTATGCTTTACTTTTCTTCTTAGCACTTACCACTATCTAACATAGCATATACTTTAGTTATTTACTCTGTCTACTTCCTACAGATTGTAATCTCCATAAGGGCATGTGTTTAATTATCCACTGTTGTATCTTCAGCACCTAGAACAGTACCTAGCACATAGCACACACTTGAACCAGCAAGTGAATGAACAGGCTTGGAATGAACAAGAAAACAGGAGCAGAGACTACAGAACAGGTAAGTAAAATGGCTAACTTGCAGGTTAAGATCTGCAGCTCAAGTTTCAAGGGAAGATTTGGCAGACCTGTGATGTCTCTGGCTCCATCAGCATGTAGTAAACCAGGTTAGCAACCATTACTCAAGATTGAATTTATGTCCCTTACATGCACTGAGCGTTCCTGAGAAACTTGGGGAAAAACAAATCCATAAATGAAAAACATTATTACCTACCCATTATGAACTACGCTTTAACGTGCTGCAATCTACAACTGAAAATTATAAGGCATACACAAAAGGACATAGCTAAGGCTAGAATTCTGAAATAATACCATGTAGACAAGTTTAAATCTGAAGAAATCCATGTAGACAAGATATATTTAAACCAGACTCTGCCACCAATCACCTGTACAACCAAAATCTCTCTGAACCCGTTTCTTGTATCCCTGTTAAAAAAAGGATCACTACTATCCAAGGCACTCTCAAATAGTTATTTTGAGGTTGAAATAATGGGAAAGTACTTTTAAAAGCACAAAATGCCATACACCATACAAATTCAAAAAGTTACTAAACTTTATGATGTTAACTTATTGGCCACTAGAAAGATTTATTAAAAACAATGTCCTTTTGGGGAAATTTTATGTTTTAAAAGGTTTTATAGATTTATGAATCAGGATGTAGAGATTTTCCCCCAGATTAACAGAAAATATATTTTACTTGTATATTTGCTTCAGAGAAAGAATAGGAAGAAATTTTTTTCTCAATTACAGTAAGGTTACATTATGCAAAACTTTCCAAGGAAATAACCCAAAGGTTATTAATTTATTACTCAAAACGGTAGAAACCCATATGTAATATATAATAAACATTTATATGTATAAACACATCAAAGTCTCAGGATTGGGGATGGGGAAATAACTATTGCAAGTGAGCAAGAGGGAACTTTCTAGAGTGGTGGAAATGCTAGTAATTGAGGTTTTGATTACATGGGTGAACATACTGTCAAAACTCATCAAACTGTACGTTTTAAGTGGGCACACTTCACTGAATGCAAATTACATCTCAATAAAGTTAGTTTAAACAAATTAAACGTCTCTTCTGTTCCCTTAAATTGAAAGAAAAAAAAGTCACTCAGTTGTATCCTGGTCTCAAAGAGAACTTGTGTAATATCTAATAAAACACCTGGCAGGATGACAGAACCTGAGTCGATAGCCAAAAAAAAAGGTCAACTCATGACCCTCTGGCCTCAAGATAAACTCAAATTAGAAAAAAATAAACGCAGATAATGGAATGGATGAATCTCAGCTTATAAAGAAAATGAAAAACAAAAATGGTATTAGTTCAGAAGGCAGTGTGGAAAGAATAGAGGTTTGGAGCCCTTCAAAACTAGGTTTGAACGGCCCTAGGCTGTTAAGTGTGTGACCCTGAGTCCTCAGACTCTCTGAGACTCAGTTGTCCTTTCCGTAAAATGGGGATCATTTTGGCCAAGTGTAGCCTAGCACACAGCAAGTGCTCGATACAGGATAAGTAATACCCAGGATATTATTCAAGGCACTAGAATTTAGCGCTGGCTGGAAATGCATGCACATATAATCCCCACCCACACGCCCCCAGTTTCCCTCTCCGAGGGTTGCGGCCCCTTTTGTGCGCTTTATCGCCCTCAGCCTGAAGTCATTCCCCCCCCTACACACACCCCTAGCAGCCTTTCCGGGCCGGACCACCCCTCATCCCAGCAGCTGCAAGAGGCCGCCCATCGCCCGGGCCCCACCTCGTTAACGAAGCGGGTGATATCGTAGACTCGCCCGTGGATCACCAGCCATATCTCCTTCAAGGTGCTGCGCTTCGCTACCTCCTCCAAACGGTAATAGGTGACGGGGGTCTCCACCTCTTGCCCCTTCCTATCGCTGCTGCTTGCTCCCACACTCGCCATTAGGCCTGAGAGGTCTTCTACACCGCTACCCCGTTTTCACCGCTAATTTCCGTGAGCTAGACTCTTGCTCAGCCCTCCCCGGCTTCCGTAACCGAGACCCATAAGGCCTTCGGAGGGCTCCTGGCAACAGCCAATCACGCTTCCGAATAGTCTCTGGTTAGTTTTCTTTTTCCCAATGAAACGAGGGATTCAGTTTAAAGTCCCGCCCACTCCTCACCTGTTCCTCCGGACGTGCCTCGTTCGAGAGCCACGTAACCAATCAGAATCGTCCATCCCCTCCAATCTCGCCAATCGATACTGTGATTTTGGAAAAGCGCCTAGTGGAGCCGCATTGAACGGTGTCACCCAGAGAAGTTTGTCCTTTGCTCAGCACACAGGCCCGCAGAGTCCGGAAGGAAGGATCGAGTCTCCCTGTCCCCGTCTCCCTTCCCTTCCCCTCCCCTCCCCGTGGTCCCTCCTGAGCCGCGCTAAACTCGTTTTCCCCACCGCCCGCGCGGCCCGTCTCCAGCCCCCGGTTTACGTCTTTGCTTCGCATTGAGACCTGGCAAATCCCTCCTAAGGCTCAGTTTCCTCACCAGTGGGCGTGATAACTTACATCTCATAGAGAAGTGCGGCCGATTAAGTGAGAGAGTGCGTGTGCAGAGGTATTGGCACACAGCAATCGGAACTGAACCGGCGGCGTTGGACGAGGCGGAGCGGCTGGCCCGAAGCCTTGGACGGCGATAAGGGGTAGGGTGCGGAGCCGCCCAAGTTTCTGCCACTACTGAGAATCTGATTTTGTTATATGTCAATTATATCTCAATAAACCTGAGGGTTGGGTTGATTTTTAAATAAATCTGTGGTGATCAGAACAGACCTGCACTATTTTCGATTCTACGTGTTCTAAAATAGAGATTGCCTCGACTGGCATGGGATAGAGGCCGCCAGCGTTGTGGAATAACAAGGTTTGTGCAATTTTGTGAGCTAATCATTTTTAATTGCCATTACAACTGACAAATTGTGGTGAAATATTTCCATCAAGTCACTCTCCCAGGCTCTCCACAACCCGTCCCCAGTCCCTGTCTAATGTTTTACACCTTCCTCTTTTATAAGCCTTGTGCACCGGCCACTCACTCCTAAACCTGCTGGTAATAAAGTCGCATCTGTGGTCATACCAGGCCCATCCCCTTAAGATACCCCTTTCCTTCCCACGCCTACTCACTTTTCAAGCTCCTCCACAAATTCCTCCTGTTTCACAAACTCTCCTACCGTCCTGAGCTCCAGTGATGCCGTCTCCTTAGAGCGCCTAAGCATATTAACTATTTCAGGAAACCCTCTGTATCTAAAATCTTAACTTTCCACATTTACCTCCCTAACTAGATTGAAACTGTGAGAGCAAGCCCGAATGATTCTTAGGATATTCTACAAACTCTAGATTCAAATATTTTTTTCAGAGATATTTACTGAACATTTACCGGGTCACAAGTACTGTGATTAACTCTAGGGATAGAAAGGTGACAACAAATAAGCCCTCTGAGATAAACAAAAGCATATACAGTATAGATGTTAAAGTGCTAGAAATAGAGATTTGTACCAAAGAATATGGGAAACAGCTCTGAACACATATTTGTTAAATAACACCCCTGGTGTGTATGGGTCACCTGACGAGGCTACCTTAAAAGGGCAAATTCCCTCCCATCCAGGCATGGAGTGTCTTCCTCACCTTGAACCTTGGCTTGCCTTGTTACTTTGACCAATAGATTGTGGCATGAGTGGTGCCGAGCACATTATGAAGTCTAGACTTCAAGAGGCCTTCCTTGAAGTTTCCACCTCCACCATCTTAAAATATCACCCCAAGTTCATGATGGCGTGAAGGCTGGGATTAAAGACCAGCCATTTAAATACTGTCTCAGCTGAGCCCACCCAATAATCAATCTGTCACTGAATGTAAACACATGAGTAAGGCTAAATCAGCAGAACTGATCAGTCAACCCACAGAATCATGAGAAACACTAAAGCACTGTTTAAAAAAAAAAAAAGCAGATTCCCAGCCCCACCTCCAGAGGTTCAGGTCCAGTGAGTCTGGATATAGAACCACAAACCAACATTTTTACCAAGTATTTTGGATGATTCTGAGGCAAGTGATCTGTAGATAACTCTGGAAAACACTGAACTTTAAAAAAAAAAAAAAAGATATGTGTTTATCTCTCATACAATGAATTAGTAAAATTACACAGCATTTCCTTTTCTATCTCCATCTCTAGGCAGCTGAGTCCAGTAGTGTTTTTAAAAACTCTATGAGGATAGCCTGGAAGAACCTCTCAGCAATGCAAGGGGTTGAAGATATATATATTTGTAGTAACACAAAAGCAAAAGTAGGCTTTCTGAGAAAAGTGGGTGGGATTCCTCCAGTAGTAGTGATGCCACAAGCTTCCTTAAAGGAACCTGAGTAGGTGACAGGACTGTGGAGGGGAAGGGCTATATGGTGCATGCAGGGAGATTGGACCCTCGGTGCCAGGGCTTCCAGCTAGCAGACATACTTGAGCCCTAGTGTGGAGGCTGTCAGCTCTGTAATAGATCTTTCCATGACCAATGTGGACTGAACTAGAGGGCCCTTCCTGAATGTTTTGTACCATGTGAAACCCCGAGAGACGAGAAGAACACCCCTATACATGACTGAGACTGAATTTGTCACCATCATGGCAAATGGAATTAGGATCAAATCAAAGTGTTTTTTAAATTAATATTTAAATTTCTGTTTTAGAATTTCAAACAGGTAAGTGGAAAGAATAATACAATGAACTCCCATATACTTCTAATTTAGATTCAGCAATTGTTAATACTTTTCCATATTTGATTTTTTCTACATAATGTTTATTGCTGTTGTTAATAATGTTAAGCCATTTCAGAATAACTTGCAGACATCATGACCCTTTACCTCCAAAGAATTCTGTATCTTCTAAGAATAAGAAAATACTCTTACATAACCCCAGTATGATTTTTAAATTCAGGGAATTTAACATTCATACAAAACATTATCTAACATGCTGCCCATATTGTTTTCCAATTATTAGAATAATGTCCTTTGTGGAATTTTGGTGTGTCTGTGTGATCTAGGATCCAATCCAGATTCGTGGCATTCTTCCCCCAAACCCATAATCCCTGTCTAAGCATGAGAAAAACATGAGGCAAACCCAAACTGTGGGACATTTTACAAAACACTTGACCAGTATCCCTCAAAACAATCAAACTCATTTCAAACAAAACAAAGAAACAAGGAAACACTGAAAAATTGCCAATTCTCACAGCCTCAAGTGGACTAAGAAGACACAACCAAATGCAATGTGGTATTCTGGATTGGATCAAGATAAAGTAACAGTAATGTACCAGTGTTGACTTCTTAGTTTTGATAAATGTACAGTAGTATATGTAAGATGCTAACATCATGAAAAGGTCAGTGAGAGGTACACAAGAACTCTATACTATTTTTGCAATTTTTCTGTAGATTAAAAATTATCCCCAAATAAAAAGGTTATTTTTTAAAACCAGCCTGTTAATTTCTGTAAAAGCTTATAGATGAATTTATAGAGAATGAACATCTTAACAATCTTAAGTTTTACAATCCACAAATATGGTATACTGCTCCATTTATTTGAATCTTTTTAAATTTGTAGCTTTCAGTATAGAGGTCTTCTACATCTTTTGTTAAATGTATTTCTAAATATTTTATGGTTTTTAATACTATTGTAAGTGGAATTATTTCATTTTCCAGTTGTTTGCTGCTATCATAGATAAATATAATTGTCGTTGTACATTGACTTAGTATCTTATGACCTTGCTAAATTCACTTATAGTTCTAGTGGTTGTTTTTAGATTTCTTGGAATAAACTTAAATGTAGCAATCATGTTACCTGCTAATAGAGACAGTTTTGCTTCCTCCTTTCCAATTTGTGTGCCTCTTTTTTTTTTCTTGCCTTATTTCACTGGCTAGGACTTCTAATACAACATTTAATTAAAATGGTGAAATGAGCATCCCTGCATTGTTTCAAATCTCAGGAAGAGGAAGAAAGTATTCAGTCTTTCATGATTAAATATTATGCTTTCTGTAGATTTTTCAGTAAATGCCCTTTATCAGATAGAGGACAGAATTGCCCTATAGTCCTAGTTTCCTGAGCTATTTTTTTTAATCATAAAAGGATATTGAATTTTGTTTAAAATTTTTTCTGCATCTATTGGGGTGATTTATGATTTTTCTTTTTTATTCTGTTAATATGGTGAATTACTTTGAATGGTTTTCAAACAATCATCTTTTCATTCCTGGGATAAACCCCACTTGGTTATGATATTGGTCTTTTTTTATATATTGTTGGATTCAATTTGGTACTCATTCATAAGGATTTTTGCATCAATATTCGTGAGAAATAATGGTTTGTAATTGTTTCTTCTTCAATGTCTTTAATAGTTTTTTTTTCTAAGCTCTTTGATAAATATTTACTAAGTAACTATAGCTAAGTATGCTGTCAACATGAGTAAATATTAAGTAAAACTTAGCAAAGTGCCTGCCACAGAGTGTTCTCAGTAAATGCTGGCTATTTTGGAGTTATTATTTCTAGATACTATAAATGAGGCCCAGCTCTTAAGGAAACTTACTTTCTAGAAGGAAGATGGCACTTACTACATGAGACATTTTTAACATTAACAGCTTACTTTTGCTATTTTTACCTATTAGAAAATCCTCTCCCTGCTGCTGTCCAGGTGTGTGCTCTGAAATTTATCTCAAATAATAGCAGAAGCAGTGTGTGAGATGCTGCTCCAGGGGAGTTCTTATTTACCTTGCAAGTTCCTTTTACTGCTTTTGTATAAACAGTAAAATTGGAACAGGAAGCCATTAAGGAAAACACTATGCCCACAACCTAGGTACGTGCCCTGACTGGGAATTGAACTGGCTACCTTTTGGTGCATGGGATGATGCTCAACCAACTGAGCCACACTGGCCAGAGTTGTGCAATTTTATCTATAAGATATATTCCCAAGAGTGG